CGAGTGGTGCCCAAGTGTTCCACCTCAGCCACCTACACTCCTTATTGCACAGAAGGAAAACCAAAACCAAGACACTAAAGGTAATCAAAATGGCAAAACCTCTCAGATATAACAATGAAAATAAACCTGTAGTTTTAAGTCAGTTTTCCTTTAGTTCAGTGTCAAAAGAGTTATTGTTGACCCCTTCCAATCTCACCATTTTAATTTGATTACCAGATTTTGCTTCAGAATAATGCAAAAAGATACAGTCTCTACTGTCCCTCTGCTGGGGGGAGGAAGGAGGAGAGCTACAAAAAAAACCTCTCAAAACAAACAACAAGAAGGCTGGTAGAGACCAGGTAGGCATACAGTGCTACTGCAACATGGGAAAGATTTCGCCTCAGGAAAACGAGCCTACGTGGTTCAAACATCTGCTATTTCTTTTTAGTTAAAGCATATCTGGAGCGCACAAAAATACAATTGCAGCATATTCTTAAATATCTGGATGCTTCCATTAGAACAGTTTATGTCTGGGAAATCAGGATTTAAAATAAATACTGAGCCAAATCCTAAAGCCCTTAACCTGGGCAAACTTCCACTTACCAAAGTACAACAAAAAGTCAAATTCTTCTCTTTGTGTTGGGTTTATACTGATTTAAACAGAATCGACCACATTTCTTGAATTCAGATCTCTGCATCTGAAAGCAAAGATCATCTGCTGGTGCACATGGAGAAACGGTCAAACTCTAGCCTAGGATTATTTCAATGCAAAATATGGCACGAGAGCAAGAAAATGAGGTATCAGTTTAGCACTATAGCCCTACCGTAATTCTGGTGTTCTTGAACTAGCTTGTTTGTCCCTATTATTAACCTAATTAGGAGCAATGACAAAAGAAGAAGGATTATTCTTTAAAATACTAACTATGCCTTAGTAACGACTGATACAAGATTTTTTATAAGATGCTTTGAGTACTATTCTGACACGTTTCCTGCATATCCTTTTCACCTTAAACACTCAAAGACACCCATGGTTAATATCGTGAGCATCAGAAGGCAGCAACTTCTCCGGTTCTATTTTTACTCCTTTGGCTACTGATGAGAAGTGCACACTTCTCTCCTCCGTGCCAAAGGCAGGCTCTGGGCTCCCGTCTGCTCTGAGGCATAGCAGCACAAAACACCTCACCACATCTTGCAAACTCAGCTATGTGTGATATGCACTGGCAACAGTGGTTAGTTTTAGATTATGCATCCATATAGATGAAGGAAGCCTGGAGCCCAGAGTTTGTACACTACTGAGTCAATCCCAGGGCACTTTGGAGAAGCAAATTACTACTTTATTAAGAAATCACAAAAAAAAAAAAAAAGGGGGGGGGGCCGGGGTTGGGAGGGGGCACGTGTTGTTCAGATGCAGAGCATTAGAGGTTATAATAAGCAGAAATCAATTCGGCACTCTGCACTTAAGCTATTCCTGGAACCCGTCCCCCCCGTCACTTTGGTTTTTGAAACAGAACCAGCACCACCACTGAAGAAACAAAAAACAAATCCCTTTAAGAAAAGATCAGAAATAATATAGTGATTCATGTGCATGTGCTCGCACAGCCACCAGGCTAAACCAACCATACCCTTGCATGGCTATATATCAAGCTGTCTAATACCATGTTTGGATACCTCATAGAATTAGAAATCAGACTGAATCAGTAATTGTGAGTCGCTGGAATTGCACTGTATTTCAAGCACATCTTATTCCTATGCTTAATGCTAGATACCTCAATACCCAGAGGTCAGAAACTGTCATGTAGCAGGTTAGGAATGATGACTGACTTTTTCCTTCCAATTCTGCTTTGCGACCACAAGCAGGTTGGTTTCCTCTCCCAAGCTTGCAAACATGTTAATAACTCTATAACATGATGATACATTAAGACAATACCTTTTCGGCAGCAAACAAGTCATATGTATTGCTTATCCCCTTTAGGTACCTTACTCTTATGCAAACTATTGCAATACTAAAGCAATTGCCATTATTATTCCTGTCAGTTGGTTCTCTAGAAAAACAGTGACCTCAAACCACTGCATTTTCTCTTCAGAGAAATACCAAGCACATGTCATGATCTCACAGTAAAAGAACATAAACCTTGAGCAGCATTCCAAAGCCTAAAATCCCCAAAAAACCACAAGAATTCTTTTGAGAAATTTATACTGTTTATTCATCACTACTACAAAATACAAACTTGCGACACGGTCTGTGTAATTTTTTTCCGTCATTTTATTTACATTTAAATCATATTTTATGCAAGCTGGCATTCAGTTAAAGGGACTCCAACAGCCCTGTGTATATATCTCTTGTGCCGTAGAGTCTAGATATAACTATTTCATTTTGGACTGCTAGAATACTAACAAACGCTGGAGGTAGATCACAGAGTATTGCTGGGAGAGTAAAGTAATTATGTCTGTCAAGATTAAGAGAGTTGATTTACTTGACTAATGTAAAGAAGAAGATGTTATAAAAAGATATCTGGAGGGCAGAGCACACAAAGCAGGAAGAGGGAGTGTGCTACATGCAGGATCATTAAGTGAACTGAACTTACCTGAACTGAAGAAATAGAAAGTATTTACTCTTCATCAGTACCCCCCACAAAGCACAATACAAGATGCGTTACTGATGGACATCCCACTGTTTGGGAATCTAGAGCTACGTTTGAATAGATTAGTAGAAACTAATTAGTAGAACTAGTTGACATTTTCTACTAATTAGTAGAAAAGTATGATTTTCTGTTTTGCATGAAATTCTAGAGCCACGGGGGAAAAACGGTCCACCATCAAAGTCAGTTGCTATAGAAAGTCCCACAGTTAAATTAAGCTTGGGAGCCCAATTTCTAAGGCTTCAGGTTTAGCCATTGTGCCCAAATCAATGTAAAGACCGACAAGAGTGAGAAAGCAAAGCTGAGAGAAGGACCCAAAGGTTCTGTATCCAGAGTAGTCTGCAAAACAGCACTGCCCCATTTCACACATTGGCAGCAGACTGGTCAGCCAACTGAAAAGCACATTTTCAAGGAAAGTCTCCCTGAACTTCCTTAGAAGCTCACAGAAACGCATATTATTTGGCGGAAGTAAAGAAAAGGGGCATCGTTTTGACGAACTGGCAACTTCCAACAAAAAGAAACTTGTTTTGTTAGGAAATTTCCCAACTAGTTCTGCTGAGAACAACCTTGTGTTTGCTAGCATGATCTAACAGGGCTTTTCTATCTCTGACTTCTGATTCTGCGATTAGCTAAAAAAACAAAGATAGAGCAACTCACAATAATTCTTACTGAAGTATGTCGGATGTCACATAATGACAGATAGGTTAATCCCTGCAGGGCATGAAATCTCAACGGCAAAATACCAAATAGCATTAAGTCATAAATATTACATAATCAGGCTCTATTTCTTCTAGTTTGGACTCAGAAAAGAAATTGCACACAGAAATTTCCAACTCCATACAAAAAGACCTTAAATTACTTTAGAAACGCACAATGGTTATCATTTCCTCATAATTTGCATGAATTCTATAGTGTTGCTTGTCTAACGTAAAACTTTTTTTCTCCCTCTTGCGCGCAATCATCAATACTTCTTCCTCACTGACTGCAAATTTCGACTCCCCTTGAGAATATATATTTTCTAAAAAAGAAATATATTTATTTTATTAGAATTCTAATACAGAATTAGAGCTAACCCTCAAAGTGAGGATACAGATATTGAACGCTCCAAAGAGCCAGGATTTCAGTTTAATCCATCAGAAAGATATGGCAAATCACAAATTCCAATCCCTAAGCCCCACTGTGCACATTTTTCAGATATAAGTTCAGTTTGAGCTTACCTCTAATTTGTATGAATACATGAATATATGCATCAATATGCATCTGGAATTTGGTTTACTGAATAGAAATATGGTGCTCAGAGAGTAATACTAATAAGGAGTTTGGCCTTAGATCAATATGTGGATTCATCCGTGGATATGAAAATAAACAAAAATCTGTAGCTGCTTATTAGAACTTAATATCATAGTCTGCCTTTAGCAGAAGCAGTATTAAAGCCTATTGATTAGCATAGCTCCTTATCTTTTTTAATGAAAATACAAGTCACAGATATTCATTCAGTTCTAAGTACACTGTATTTCCTGCATTTTCTACTTTCTCATATTTCTATAAATTTTTCCTTTATTAATGTCTTTCAAACCACTGAGGGGCAAGCCTTTGGGGAATCACACCTGCAAAATCCAATGGAAACATCCTGTGTTTAGTAGTTTGACAACTTTTCTCTTAGCTAACTTGTTCAGCTCTCCCCTTCCATTTATCAGTTTTACAGCAATACTCCCTATCCCATTTCTTAGTCCTTCCTCTACATTAGTGTAAACCAAAACAACAGAAAAAAAGGACAATTAGTAAATTCAAGTTTTGGTTGAGAGGTCAGAAAATTAAAAAACAAAATTATCCCCTACATCACACAACCACAGCTTCAGTTAGCTCATGAACTGCCAACATCCTCTAGCCACACACACACCTTTTGCTCATAACCCCCTTCAATACCCATTGAAGTGCCACTGTCACTATAATCACGCGTAATACACTTGCACGGCCCCTTACCTTTAGTCCCTTAAGAAATGGCGTTATTGGGAAATGGCGTTATTGGCTTTCAGCTAAATGAAAATTCTGGTAACACACCACAGGTAAGCTGACTAACACCGAGCTAGCAACGAGAACACAGAAAGTAAAAAAAAAAAAAAAAATTTACATTGCAAATACTTTAGCTTAACTCCTCCAGTAAAATTCTTACTTCATGCCATTTTATTATCAGTCACCCTCATGCAATATAGAACATCATAACTGACTACGAAGTCACCAAGGAACATGGAAGCCTCAGCAAAGTGGCATCAGCTTCCCCTTGCCGTTCTAACATTTAAAACAAATAAATATAAGATATCAATGAAATATTACAGATTTTCTTCATTCATATAAATTATAAGCATTTTTATCCAATCCTACCTTCAAACTTGTTGTAGATTGCATTCTCATTTACAGTAAAATCACAAAATCGTCCACTGTCATCACATACTAGGTTAAAAATAAAAGTCAAGATTCATTTTAAACAGCTTCACAGACATTTTATTTCTTTATTAATAGATTTTGATACAGAATTTTCTTTATAAATTTAAAAAAAAAAGCTTTTTCTTCCAGAGCTCCACAGGGCCCAAAGCCTTAAGCAGACTTGCTAGAAATTTTACTCTAGAATACTATTTTTGAATACAAAGAAAGAAAAAAAAATGTGTGATTGGGATACTATGAAAATGAAACGCTCTACCTATCATGTACTTCTTTATGAGATTTTCAGTTTGATTCAAAAATAGTTTAAAGGCTGAACATAAGCTAGACAGGAAATACCAAGAATGTCAACCATCATCCACAAGTAAGCTAATGTGAAACAGGATTTGCAAGAAAACAGAGAACAGCACAAATTAAATTAATTTAATCCTGTAACACTAAAATTTAGTTGGATTTTGAAGTGCAGAGGTGAGATAAAACTGTAAAAATGACATCTTGCATGGGATAGAGTAATGAGCACAATTCCAGTAGAAACTTGTAAAATGTAGGGTCCTACTTTTTTTGCATCTCACATAGCTAGGCAGTAAGAGAAGACATAGACACTCTTCCATGCTAAATTAATCAATTTTACCATAAGCTAAATCAGACAAAGAAATAGTACATGAATAATAAAATTCAGTGCTCACATTCAAATTTGTCCTAAATGCTATAGCAAAGTCTTACCCCAGTAAGTGTCCCCAGTGTCTTCCACAGTAGACACTAAATCTAATATTGCATTCACTCTGTTAATGTGAAACATCCCATTTGTGCCAAGCATGAACTTCTTGCTATAATGCAACAGCCCCAGATTCGGTGCTGCTGAGATTTTTGGAAAAGCGACCGTTTGCTCACCTACAGATTCATAAAGGAAAGGGATTTTGCTCAAATGATCCCCGTGCCTGGTTCGGTGTGCTTCATAGGCCTACCTTCTTATGCGAAGGGCATGAGTATAGGGCAAATGTACAAAACATGAAAAAAGAGCAAATCAGGATAGATGAGGAGGAGATAAATTTGGGAAGGAGGGGTTTATAACTTAAAAATGCTTGTATTTTGGCAAGAGAGGACACCCACTGGACTAGTTTGCCTTTTTTGGTCCAATGCAATGTGATTTAAAGTGCTTTAGAGAAAACTCAGAAAAAATATATCGAAAAAACAGCCTACCTAGGAAGATGAAGTCATTTCAAATAAAGTAATAAACTAAGGAATAAATCATTTATAAATCTTCCTTTTAAGTTCTATATTTACCTACTAGCAGTGATAAAGAAATTTGCAGCTTCAGAAATCTGGCTTTCATCTTGCTCATCCCACACTGAATAAGGTTAAATTCCTATTACTGAGGCTTCTCTCACAAAATTCAAACCATAACATTGTAGCATACCATACTCTTCCCGGGCCACTAACCCATCCACCTCTTTTCATCTCTGGCTGCGAAGAAGTCAGTGGCGCAAAGGGAAGGCAAGCAGCACAACCCACCTGCAGCAGCCAAAATACTTGCAGCCCGGGACTAGGGCAGGGCAGAGATGGAAAGATTCACGAGAGATCCACGAAAACTCACTCGTCTCCCTGGAGCGCGCTGATGGCACTCATCCAGTGCCGTGGGAACCACTTCTGCCCGTGGGTGCCCAGGAAGAGCAGCTTATTCCGGCCCATCTTCCCCGCTGGGGCTGCTCTTGGCTTCCCAGAGCACAAGGTAAAGCATCAAAGTGAATTAACCACTTGCCAGCGTGCTTGCGCAGAGGTATTCCGCCAAGAAAGACAGACTATATTGAACTTGAAACAGGAGGAGAGCCTAAAATCCTGTGAAGCTTATCAAGGGGCTTCATTGCTGTACCCAGTTTTGCAGGGGAGATGCTCCCCCAGAGCAGCGATGGATGACGGTGCAGGCTCAGGCAAAGAAAATAAAGATCTCCAGGCCTCACACTTTCCATATCACAGCAGTCTTCATGGGAAACTCTCCAGGATGATCCGATCTCTCCAACCTCTTACCACACAGCTGGTATCACATTGCAAGAATAAAACTTACTTTGACTAGGTAGATTAAGAGAATGTTAAGACTAACTATAATTTACTTACCTTCTTCTCTGAAATTGGCAGGTATGCAGGTGAATTTATTTCATATAGCCATCAGCAGAGTGCGGTACAGCTGAGACAAAATATTAGTGAGTGTTGTAGTGAAGCTGACAATTAGTTTCTATTAAAGCTTGCAAAAACATAAGCTAGATAATTGAAAGATATTTACTACAACCTCATCTGACAAATCTAATTCTTCATATCCTCCGAGATGAGATCTGTGTTCTGAAAATTAGAGAAGATTGCAAATGCTAAAACACAAACAGAAAATTCATGCTCAACATGATATCAAAGCTATCACATTAGTTTTGCTAAGATGAATAGAAAATGGGCAGAACATAGATCAAAAACATACTATGCCATGTAGCAATTTTCTTGCAAATATTCAAACCTAATAGGGAACAGCAGTGATCCCCATAAAATTCTAAAAGTTTCGTTCAACTTTTTAAAAGTTGGCTGCCTACATGAAAACAAAATTCCCTAAAGCTATCAATGCTATCCTAAAAATTATTTGTATTAATGGTTACAATGAGCTACTATACTATGGAGCATAAGCTAATAGGAGGCATTTCTTGTACTGAGCAAGCTAGTGAGGGATCTAGTGCATCTCTACTGCCTGCTCTCCAAGACTACAGACTTCTGGGAATGTGGATGCTTTAATCTCTGCTAGCTGAATATTCAAGTTCAGTCACTGTCCAACTTAGTTGAACTAATTAATTCAGCAAATAGAATAAGAACAAAAAGCTATTTATTTCCTTTGTTCTGAGTAAGTCTGTAGACAAACACAAACAAACATTAAATTTGTAAAGTCAAACATGCAAAAATTCAAAGCAGCCAGAATTAAGCCCTTTCCAATTTTCTGCATGAGCTTACTCAGTAGTCTCCTCCTCCAGGTGGGCTGGAAAAAGCCATGCTCCTCCCAAAATAAAGCTTTCTGACATCTGTCCCAGGCTCTTTGCTAACACCACACTGCCTCCCACCACGCCACCTAGTGCTACTCCTCCACTCCCCTCCTGCAACACGTTATAGCTGTCCAGGGCTCCTATTTCTCAGGTTCTTGCCCCATACATGGTAATTGTTCCTTAATGCCTGAACAAAAAGTTTGCCATCCTCTTTCCTATCACTGTCTCTTAATCCTCGTCCATGCCTTCATCACCAGGTCAAATCACCTCATCACCTTCCCCACTATTTCCCCATTCCAGCGTATTTGCCTACTCCGGGCCTCACTGTTTACCCCAGCAAGCACCCATTCCCAAGTCTGTGACTGCTGGAAGGTGACAGGAAGTCTAGGCAGCATTTTAACAAAGAATACTAGAAAAAGACCAAGTTATTTTTATTAACTCCACTCACTGATAAGAATGAGCCATCCACTAAAACTCTAGATAGTTTTGGCATCCCTATGGTACCTAGTACCTGCATCCCTTTGTCTACACTAGACCTCTTGTGAACCATCAACGCACTTTCTCATCAGTCCCACTGCTAACCGTGGGACCTCACTAAATAGTTAACTGCTGGACAGACATTCTCTTGCCTTCTAGCCAGAATTCAGAAAAAGAAATAGAGAAGAAATAAAGTCTTTATCACAGCATGTGTGGGAGAGATGAGAAATAAAAAGACAAGCATCTTTGTGTTTTTCTCTGACAAATGTAAACTGAGCATAGATTCAGAAAAATGCCCACTGGGAACATTTGTCCTTATGCCATATCCATGTACAAATATTTATATTGTACTTTGTGAGTTTATGTCATCTATGTTTGCATACAGGAGGTCTGAAAACAGACTGAAACACTAAGAAGTAACACATGAGCCAAAATAGTTTTGTATTGGGATGCATTTCATTCAAAACCTGAATCATAAAATACTTATCACTTGAGTTAAGAATAACCTCTATTAATCTGGATGACCTTTCTGGAGTATCTTACAAACAAAGAGCAAAGATAGATTTCTGAATCATACAGGACTTCCAGCACTGCTTTCTCACTCAGCACGTTTAACATAAAACCTAAACTGAATCCTCTCTTCAAGTAATGCTATCCTCTCTCCTTTCCTCTGCTCCTCCTGCAATGCAACCTTGTTCTGCTCCTCCTTTCTTTGTACCCACCACCCTGAGGCACTCTGGAAAGAAAACAGAAATCAGGGGGCAATGGGAAAACTGTGGGACAAGAATTGTGATAGATGTCAAAGCCATGCTCTGCAGGGCAGGTGATGCTTGCTCCACCTCTTCATGTCTCACTTTAAAGAGCCACCACTGCCAGTTCCAGCTATTCCCCCACTAGGGAAGTAAGGGCAGGGGTGGATGTATGGTGCAGATAACTGGAAGACCCTTTCAGAAAAGATCACAAGGACAATATTCAGCTAAAAACCTTCTGAACACAAGTTTCCTAAATGAAAATTAATATGAGTTGGGGAAGAGTCTGTACCCTTTATGGAGCTCGAGGCGTACCCAAATATTATCAAAATGCTCCTTTCCTATGGGCAGGGACAATTTGAAAAATACCCCGTAAAAATGCCTTCACACATTCCTGTTCTGCAGGAAGTATGAAGAACATCATTGCCTTCAGCTCTTTTCTCTGCGGCACTTCGGACTTGAAGCGCAGACGTTATGCCTCTGACTCAACAAATCCACAGCTAGCGCTGCTTTAAAAATGCCAAAAGCTAGCAAAGGAGACAGCAAACACCCTCAAAACCAGTAACCTACAGAATCGTACCTTTACAGCTATAGAATAGGAGACTGAAAGGCTTCTCTGAATTTGAGTTTCACTTCCATTTTCATATGGAAGAAGACATTTAGTGAGATGTTGGCAACCTACAGCCCACCGACAGGACCCAAACTCAAAACTGCAACCAAGTGAGCTTGAGTTCCCCCTCCTCTGCATACCTGGTTTCCCCTTGCCTATGCCACTGGACCACCGTTTCTCCACCTCTCCCCTGACTACTGCTCTCTGCTGTTCTTTCGCATCCAAAGCAGAAAAACTGGGGGGATATCCAAGTGGCCCCTGCTGAGACACAGAGAAAGGAGCCCATCTGAGCTGATCAGAGGCATCAGCTTCCGTCAGCTAGAATAGTGAAATTCCACGGCCCCAAAATCTAAGCTCCTTGGCCATTATCGATATGTAAAGTGGGTGCACAAGCTGCAAACAGTCTGCATCTTCCATGTTTGTCCACTTCATTTGTGGCTTCCCAAATTTCAAATACCACGCTCAGAGTTAGACGCTCACTGTTAAAAAAGTTCAAATGTTATTCTACGTTAACATTTTTTAATGAATATTTAAATCAACTCTGGGAAACCAAATCTGAAACATATTGTGACGGAAAGGCAGAACTTTAGAGACAAGGCATTATTATGAATAAATTGTACTCCAGGTAACGTCAGATGGATGCAAGACAAAAATCTATCTAGATACAGACATTAGTCATATTTTTCTTAATCTGTATCTCAAGTTAAAATTAAAAAGCTTACCAGTAAGACTTAAAAATCTTCAGCTGCACTAATATAGCCAAATATAAAAATGAATATGATGTAAAACAGATTTAAGGAGGATATTAAAAGCATCAGAACTACATTTCAAATCTCTCATGATTTCCCATGCTTACACTTCAAAAGGTTTGCAAATGGCAATGCATAAGTCTTTCTCCTTCCAAAATCTAAATTTTTAATGTTAGCCATTAAAAAAATTCACTGTGGTGTTTTGCTTTGGTGAATTTTTTTGAAAAAGATATTTGATAGTTTTCAAAAAAAATACTGTAACAGACATTCACCGTCAGCCACCTCCAGGAGAGCTGTTTTTTAAAATGAATGTTATTTCAATTTCAGGGTTTCTTTCTGGTGACTCTTGTGAATATAAATATGTTCTGATTAATTTTACAGATCTGCATGAAGCAGAAGATTTGTGAACTCACTACGGTATTATCTTCCCGTCACAAATGAAGAGAAGCTCTAAATAAGTATACTACCTATGGAAGCTTCCTGAGGTCTGGAGATCATGGTATCAAGAACTACTGATTTACTATTATACCAATATAGTACAGGAGACTTACTGATGGACGACATAATAAAAGACAAGTAACCCGAGGAAAAACGTCGATGATGAATTATATATGTCATTAATATGTAATCTGGACCCATAAAAACCTTGTTTCAGAAAACATGGCATTGACACCTTATGTTCCAAACTGTCAAAGATACTGTGCCTCTAATGAGGATCTATTCTGCTTGATCGTCACAATTGCAGGTGACAGTAATGTATTTTCACCTGTTCTGACACAAAACTATATATGATGTTTACACTCTAATATTACAGATGGTTTGTACGCTAAACACTGTAATTGTTTTCTCCCGTTGTTCCCTAGATAAACAGGTGATATTCTACCTACTTCCCAAAGGTAATTTCAGTTTTTACTTGCAACTTTATTTTTCACGTTCTTTTCAGTAGCTTAACCCTGGAATTAATTCAGTAAGACAAAATCACTGCACTTTTATCTACATTTTACAAACTACTTCCCTCACTCCAAACAATAGTCTACCCAAAGACAGAAAATTTAATAATAATGAATCAGTAAACTAAGTGCAGTATGAATAG